TCTATCCCAGCCGAAACCAGGACAGTTTGCCAAAGGCTCACCAACTTCATTGAATTTGCAGGAAAAAACCTCCAACTGATGGCTTTTATTTTATTCCCCCCTTAGTTAAAGTGGAACATTAAAGATAGTGCATGTGTACATATCTACACATGTAGATTCAGCAAAATCCCCAAGGAACAAATCCTTCGTTTCTTTCCTGCATCCGCTCCTGAGCCACCTGTTCCAGATGTATGAACTTTAAATGGTACATCTTGCTACTAAACTTACTGTATTTTCAAATACAATTAAAATGACTAAGACTACTGTAATTAATTAAACAATTTTAAATAGGCTGGTTATCAGCAAAGCGAGAAGCTGTTACTTTTTTGTCACTTTTCCTACGACAAGCAAGTCATTAGATATTACTAAATACATATGAACAAGTGAGCATACACTGGAAAATGCAAAGGGATAGGAGGTAGGCAGGGAGAAGGAACAAGGTCAATAATATAAGTTTATTGGTGTAGGTTTGGAAACAGTTTGTAAGCAAGGTTACTTTTGCTTGTATAACGCCCTACCATACACAATAGGCTGCAACCTTTTCTTCCCATTGCAATGCTGTTTCTAGACTAAGGGAAAGTTGTATTGATCCAGATAGGAGCAGATTATTATTAAGCTGATGCGGAACTTCTTTTGACTCATGACACTATCTCCCTCCTAAATAACCACATTATTTTCTTGCAACAAAAACAAAGCACCAAGAAAATTCCTATACAGAATAACATAATGAACTTAAAAAACTATAATCATGTGTCAGAGCTTTCATCTCTTGTACCCCAAAGGTCCAAGACAATTTTAACAGCACCATTTTATATCTACAGTAATAGATCACATTGAACACCTGCTTGCACACTAGATTAGCAAAAGCTCGAACAGTTTGCCTTGGCTTAATAAAAACATTAACACTCTGTGTTGGTATTTCTTTTGCAATACTGAGGAAGAAAAATAGAATGCAAAAACAACAACTTGGCTAGAAATCAAGGTATGCTGGAAACACTTTCTGGAACAGTAAACAAAACAAAGCAAAGTGGTGAAGAGACTTTGTATATGAGGATTAAAAAAATACCATAAGTGGATACAAGAGATGATTACTTCACAGACATAACACAAATTAGTTTTTCTTTTGCTATTATATCAGCTATCACATCAGTTATGTTCAGTGGACACAAGTAAACACTGTTCACTTTTCAAGGCCATAACTGAAATGCTCCCTTGACCACACAGTTTTTGATTGTAATGGCAGGTCAACGATATAAACAAAATTGTTAAAACCCGTGATTTTATGCAAATTTAGTATACTGACGGTCAGGAAGAAGCCAGGTAAACATCGGCTAACAGGTGAAAACTTTTAACAACAAGAGCAACCAGGGATTGGAGCTACTTAAGAAGCCTGGTGGAGTATTCTCTAGTACTGGGACCTAATACAAACAATTGAGGCACTATAGGTACAAGTTCAACTACAGCAACCTGGTAGGAGCTGCACTTTACTTCAGGAAAATCCACTGGCTTGTGGTATGCAGCACAGAGAGTCACAGTATTCTCTCTTCATCTGATATTCTAGTATGATGAAAACATCAACTTCTTAAAAAAACCCAAAACAAAACCAAACAAAAACCCAAACCAAAAACTTCAGTCTCTTTCACTACAGTGAAAGTTGTTGGAGTTACCACGATTCCTCTGCACTGAACTCATGCTCATCCAGAGGCTCCCATTTACAGATAATCCAAAGTCTTTGTGAAAACTAGGTAGCTGATGCTTGTAAAAAAATATTTTCTAATAGGACAGCCACTTTTTAGTGATCTTTAAGATGCAATTTGCAATTTGAGCATGAAGTATGTTTTCATTGTCCCATTTGTTATCTATAGTTTAATAAAACTGTACTGCAGTCAGATGTGAGTTCCTTGTGTTTTATCTGTATTCCCCTGTTCTTTATCTGCTCACTGCACTATTTATTTAAGATTTTAAGAAAAGTTCAGTCCAATTTATTACAAAACCTCTGGCTCCACTATGTGGCAAAGATATATAGCCCCATCTGCAAACTGGATTAGAGTTCCATAAGCCAGTATGCTTGGGTGCCACCACCACAAAAAAGGGAACTGTATTGTACTGCACGGTGGCAGCCAGGTGGCTTCCAGCGATAGTACCAGCAATAATCAGGTGCAGAGGGTTGTAAAGGCTTTGTGAAGGGCTCCTTCCCATTTCCCCGGGGACAAATCAATGGCCCAAGCTTCCTCCTTCTGTTTATTTCATGCATTTTGCTTCAAAGCCAGTTAGCAGATCAATACTGATTTGTATTCTGAAGAACAAATAACCTTTCTTTATTTTTATAAATAAATAAGCTCCCACTAAATTTCCAAAAAGATGCTGAAGATTTAATGGCATTATAGAGAGAGGCATCCTTTAATGGTAATGATGCATAAAAAGGATAGCAGAAACTGGTGGAATTTGTGGTGTTAACAGTTCAGGTATTTTGTGGACGGGTACCCAAATTACATGAAAAATGCCAGTTGTCAATTCGAAGGTTGCTCATTAACTTCCACACCAGAATTTTGATGAATCTTCCAGTTCCTGTGTACATAATTTATTTTTGTACACAATTTGGAAACTAGACATAATGGGTAATAGAGGAAACCAAGGAAAAACAAAGATGGCACTTTAAAAGTTTTTCTCACTGCAGTGTCAGGAATTTGATGTATACTAATAAAGAAATGTTATTGAGAGATGAGTATTCTCTCAATACATGGAAAATGTTGCAAATTTACCACACTGTTCTTTACGGAGTGGAAAGTCCTCCATTACACAAATAACTTTTCTATTTTGTTCTGTAAATATTTGATTTCAAGGGCTCTTGCACTGACTAGGTTCCTTCTAGGAAAGACTGCAGACATTAGAAAGAGGACAGTTTGGGGACACTTGCAATCTCCTTGCCTTCATGTATTAGGGAAACACTATATATCAGTCTGCCTTTGCAAATGGAAATCTCCCCACTATCAGATTTCCAACTTACGAAAAAAGCATAAAAATAAAGTTGGAAATAATAATGTAAGAAAAATACCTAAATTACTACAAATGAAAAGGAAAGAGAATAGCAGTTCTTGAATCTGGGGACCTGATTTAATTAAAGTGCACCACAACCACTTACTTTTAATACTAAATGACACCTTCTCTGAAATTTATCAGACTCACCTATACATTGCAGCACACTAAAGAGTTTTAGAAGCCAGCAGACCAAGCATTCAGGTGGTGTAAAAGAATGTAAAGGCTCCATTAGTTTCAATTAATCTACACCAATTAGAATGCGATAACCCGTAGTGAGGTTATACAACAGGAAACCAAATTACTTGTTTCTTAAAGGTTCAGTGAAGCTCCACCTGCCAGTTTTTCACAGCAGACTTCCTGACAAGCCCACACTGCCATCTCCCTTAGACACTGGCAATCTAAATTACATACTCTTTGTTAGTATATGAAGATTTCAATTATTTCTATTGTTTTGTTGTACAGTTACTGTGTGTATATTCCTCCTCAATGACATCTTTTACTGAGATCTAAAATGTAAATACTTTTATGGGGTGAACGTGATATATCTAAAATGTTGTGATCTTCTAACTCCATTTTCTTGACACATTTAAAAACTAGCCAGTTACTGCAATTTTCCTTTTACATCCAATTCAGCAGAATTCCTTCCTTCACATTTGCTTTGTATGTTGAAAACAGTTACACACATTAGGGCTCCCCTTACCTCAAAGGAAAAACAAATGCCTTCCACAAGTTTTCCTGCCATTATCAGGCCTGTCAAGTACCTGTAGTAAAGGGGTCATCAGATAAGACTTAGCATATTGCAGTGACAGATGCGGGAAAGAAGGTTTCTAGTCAGTCTGGAAACTGCTGCTTCTTCCCTTTCCATCAGTAGCAAGCAAGTCAAGACAGAGATACCACATTCCATTTCAAACATATCATCTTCTAGTTAAAGGAGATAAAACACTGGCGTCCATCCCACATTTGTAACAGCAAAATAAAGAATTCTAAAATATTTCTTTGAAATCTAGTTATTGTCCGACGTATAGGAATCAGTGCAACAGCAGCAGTCCAAAAATGGTTTCAACACCACTGTAAAAACAAGACAGTCTCTCATCACAAGCACAGAGCAACAACTTTTGTTAATGTTATTTTTACTCACGTGGTACAAAGCAGTTTCTGGTCCAGGTGTGCCCATGACTTCTTGTCTCAATGAGTCCATTTGTAAACTAGGCAACAGTGAGTAATGACTTGGACTACTACTCTTGTCTCCCTTCTTTTTGGACTTTTTCCCAGTATCCTTTTTGCTATTCCTTTGAAACATGTAGTCTTCTTGACCTATTTTCTCATTGCTCATATAGCGAAGCAATGAATTTTCTGTTGAAAGAGAAGTAATGCAAAACATCATTGTGAATTGTTGTATGTATGTTAATCCTGCTTCCAAAATATATAATATTTTTGCTAAGATCTACTGTCAATTTTAACTCTTTAAGACTATTTCATTAACAAAACGCATTTGCTTCTTTGGTCTGGATATAATAAGAAAGCAATCTTTTGGTAGGGAAAATTCATGATTCTTGCAGTTTTCTGGTATCTTTGACAATAAAAGGAACAGAATATAAAAGAAGCCTCACATCAATAAATTTTGTCTTGGAGTTTTCAAAAAATGAGCAATGATACACTTATGATCATATCTGTAATCTTTTTTTTAAACAAGATCCTAATGAATACAAATGACTCTGGTGCCATACATTTAAAAGCAATTTGCTTTGAACATTTATTTGAGATCATTCACCGTATCATCCATACTTTCCCAGAATACTCTTCCAGCATTTACCAGCTTGTAGCTGAGGGACATCCTGAGCCAGAAGCAATGTTTGTGAATTTAGGAACCATAAGCAGATTTGTCTTTCATGAACTTGTCTGGTCTTTCCTTGTATTAATGCGAACTTTTGGTATCCACAACCTCCTGTGGCAAGAGGTTCCTTAGCTTGAACCCAAACTGCACGAGGAGCCAGCTCTTTTTCTTTTTAACCAGCACTTGACGGAGACATTTGATGTCTCTTGGGTCTTGTTTCGGAAAAAAACTATTTCCTTATTTCATTCCACACAAGATTTTATAAACCTTTATTATGTCCTGCCTAAATTCTCCCAAACTGATGATGGTCAGGCTACTGAATTGACCCTGGTTTGGAAGCCACTCCATACATCTGATCATTTTTGTTGCCTCCTAAACCTTCTTCAATTCTACTGTATTTTTCTTAAGAGATGAAGAAACCAGAACTGCACACACACCCAGCGTGAGCAAGAACTTACACAGCAGCATAAGAATACGTCTTATTTTGTCTTGTACTCTTTTCCTAATGATTCCTAACAGTGTTTCCTTTTTTGAACCCTACTGAATATTTAGTTAGTATTTTTATGGAAATATCTATCATTACGGTAACATTTTGTTCCTGGGTGATAATAGCTATCTCAGAGGTTACCATTTTGTATGTGAAGTTACGTATCTGGGCCTCACAAACCAGAATTTTGAAGAACTTATCCTCAATGATTTTGAGGTGAACCCCATGCTGCTCTAGAATGTTTTCCATCCAAAAAGAACTCATGAAGACAGAGAAATGTGATATATAATTCTCATTTAAGCATAACAATATTTATCAGTAATAATCACACATTTGTCCTCTAGCATTATAAAATTAAGGCCAGTTTCGAAATGGATATCATAATACAGCTGAATCAATGAAATGCCAATATAAAGTTAAACCAAACTGCAGGGCTTTGCAGTCATGGTTTTCTTTTGCCTGGCTGAGCAACTTCCTCAATCCTAATAGAGGCTCTGCAAAAAATTAAGTATACATAATGAAGAACCCAAAACAGGTTCACAAAAATATATATCTAAGCAAGCAGCAAAGCGAGGTTGAAATATGTAGCTTAAAGCATGATAAAACCCATAATGCCTTGTACAAGATGTGTGTTCAGATCACTTACCTCTCCTACTATCTCTTTTTATTTTATTGGGGTCTTCATAATCCCCCACCCAGTTATATTCTACTGGCATAGAAATAGGCCTTAGTTTCCCTGGAAACAGAGGAAAAAATTGAGATCATGCACCATAAGGCAGCATTAAACTAACATTCTTTAGAAGAAAGAACAAATTGTGTGCTAAGCTGCTATTCTACAGGGTTGCTTATGAAAGATGATCCAGCATTGCCTCTGAACAAGAGGTTAAGATAGGAGTTCTGTTTTCTTCAACAGACAGGAAGCAGCAAGTATTTAATGGATTTTTTTAAGTTTAGAAAATAAATCCAGTCCCCTTCAAAATCATCAGCGGACTGATGTTTGAGACTGACAAACGCATTCAAATTACTTTCGTTTTCACTAAACTAAAAGCCCCTGGCACACACACAGAGAGAACTGTTTTAAAGCATATGTGAATTGTTGGCAACAGAAACGTGTCCACATCACTAAAGTACTTTCACAAATAGCATCTTTGCTGGTGGGCTTAAAAGATCCATAAGTGACTGAGTAAGAAAGGAAGCAGAAAACCTCTACATGTAATTTCTTTTGTAGCACAGAAAGCAAACATTACTATTGGTAAATTCACTTGGTTTCAGACAGCAAGAGACAGAAAAGCTGAAGACTATTACATCTTTTAAATTTTGATTTGGAAGCTGGTGAATTGATTTTTAAAAATGCTGTGAACTATGATTTCTGCTTAAGGATTCCACAAATATAGTCGAAAATTCAGTGAGAGTGTGCTATGCAACTTAGTCGGATTACTTAAAGTGGTCTGAAGTTTTTAGCAAGTTAAACAGTATATCAAAACAAAACACAGAGTAGCATAGCATATGGCACAATATCTAGCAGACAGAAAATAAAATATTTTCACAACAAGGTCAGCCCTCACTCTTTTTTGAATCGATCTACTGGTCACAAAACTGAAAAGTGGAAAAATAATTTGGTTTTAGAAGTAGCAGAGCCTAAAGTAAAAACTTCAGAAGTCTCGTTAATTATTTTAGTGGAAAACTCCTACATAAAGGTGATCGGTCTTATTCCACATTTTTGAGGTTAAATCCATGATACACTGAAAAAGAAAGACGTGTTTATAATGAAAACAAATATTCAAACATGTCTATCTACTTCTTGAAGTATGGCATTCATGGGAAATATACCAATACCATGTAGGCAGCATAATGATAAAAGGTTGTATTGCCTTTTTAAAAAATTGAAAAAAAAAGGTGTATGTTTGGTATAGACCACAGGATCAGGTCACAAATACATCATTGCTCAGGAAATACAACATATATATTTAACTTTTTATTTATCATTTATTTTACTATTTATGGACACATATTTAAGTCTGATTGAAGCCGGTGAGATTTAGAGCACACAGTTAAGGAGTCATTTCCTGAGTGGGGATGTATTAGGCTCATATTTACTTGATCGGAAGTAATTTTCAATGGTTACTTTTTCTAGAAATACAACTTTCTCTTCTTTGTGAGGCTGAACTCACAGTATCTTACTGAAAGAACCCGCACACTTAAAAAGATACAAAAGCTACAAAGTCATGTAAAGTCTGATTGTTATCAAAAGCTATAGCCATAACAAATTTTTGACAAAATCTCTAGCTGTTCAAAGTGTATGTTTTTTGTACATGGCAGTAAAACTTCATGACCAAATTTGTTTCTTTCCTTAAACTCAAGTTTCATTTGCCTGTTACCTCTGCTAATCTCCTTCTTGTTAATCCCCAGGGATTCCCTAAATCTGTTTTCCCTGGTGACTACACTCAGGAAAATTTCTTCCTTGGGATGTGAACAGAAGCTTTCCGAGGCCAATTAGCAACAATTATACAACAGCTGGAAGCCAGTAAGAGCATGAAAGAGAAATCTCTTTGTTAACATTGTCAAAAAATGTCAAAAGATTCCAATGAAGAAATTATGGAAGGCCCTATTAACCTCTCACGAAGGAGGACTGAGAAATATTTTTAAAAAATTAACACCACCACATAATTAATGATGAGTACATGTTGCAAACAATTACTTCTCTAGGCCTTGGAACTCTGTTTGACCTTCTTTAATGGGTCACCATAAGCCAGAAGAGTGTTATTGTCATTTCCCAGATTTCTGTGTAATCCTAAGGTCACGCCTAGCCACAAATCTTATGCTAACAAATGCCATGTGGGAAACTTTAGAATTTAATGCTGAAATGGTAATATTTTTAGAAAATACACTTAAATGAAAATGGACTTGAGGGTATGAATTCATTAAAAAAGAAGTGAGATCAAAAGTAAAAGCCTGTATAACAAACGTGTTAAATAATGACTGATTTTCAGTGCAGTCTTTGATCCATGTATTTATAAGCCTTTCTGCTAATAGAAAAAAAGGCTAAAAAAGCTATCCTGTAACAAAATAATGGATTCAGCAGTCCTTGAAGAAGAAATGTGTTCTTCTTCACTCTAGACCACCAGTATTAAAATTTAACATCTGGAACAGAGAGTACATCTCTGTTTTAATGGAACTGACTGCATCCACCAATTGTAATAGTTGAAATACTGGAGTAATAAAATTGATATATCCACTTTGAAAACTTGGCACTTATTTTTTACGCTATGGGCATGGTTAGAAAACACCTGAAAACACTTTGAAATCCAAAGGATACTGAGGATTTTGCAGCAGGATTGTGTAGTTGTGTAGAAAGGGTGCATTTTATGAAAATGCATCCTTTAATGTTGTGCAAGCACATTGCTCCAGGTCCTGAGGATACTTTACATGGCTCAAGCTCAATTTATATCATGGTTCCCAGGTGATTTTGAAGCTTGGCTGCATGATGTACTAAATCTACACTTCCTCTCAAAGGGATATGATGTCAGGATTACTATAACAACTCCAACATACAGCTTATGCTCAGTTTAAAAATTGAAATAACATAGCAAGTAGGGTGAAAAAATATTCAAGTGTGTCCTCTTCATTTTCTTCTATATCCTAACAACTCTATGACTGCACAATTTTATACTTGGCAACAGAAAACCAATTCTCCCAGTCCAAAGCTGAAACAAGTTACGATACTAGCTAAAGGAAGAGTTCCAACAGATTCAAAGGAAAATAAGGTTTGGAACATAAAGGTTTGAGGAGCAAAATTCTCACCAGAAATTGTTTCTGAGTTCTCATCCTAAATAAATCAAAATCCAAGATGTGGAAGTAGCAAGAATACACGTTTGTGTTTACACGCAAAATTCTTAGACAATACATAACCTCAAATAAAGAGGAACTGCTATATATAGGAAGTCATCACTTCCCATATAGGAATTTACAGGAGGTTAATACAGTATTACAAAAAAAGGATATTATCATTAGTCATACTTCATTTTTGGGACTAAAGAAAGATTAAAGAGTTTTAAAGAGCAGTGCAGCATGAAAGCAGCATGTCATCTCTTGGTAAATCTGAAGTGGTTTTGATCTTTAAAACTATTATACCTGGGTAAATTTTTCTAATGCTGAATTCCTAAACTTATGCAAGTCTTGCCCCTACACTGGGAGAACAATTCCATCCTGTATTTTTAGTAAAAATATATGGGCTTCTGCTAGGTGTTTTTTGAATAAAATAATACTGAAGCATAATCTGAAAAATTAAGCTGATAACAAAATTATAGAATTTATATTCAGAAAAATCATCAATATAAAACTGGATTTGCCCTCCCTATCATAGTAAGTAACTTTGTCTTGCACAGAATAAGATCTTAGACTGAAATCGGACTAAAGTAGTATAGAATTCTTAGCAAAATCAATGGCCACTGAAAATATTTTTATGCTTAAAAACAAAAGCAGATGCACAAAAATCCTAAAATCAACAAATGGTGATTATCCTTATTAGATCAATGCCATACCATAAGTTGGTGTGCTCTCTCTCCTTCCAGGACCACTTGTTCTTCCTTTCTCATATTCATAGCAGTATAAAACTGCATCTTCTTCAACCACATTAAAGCGTTTCCGATATTCCTGGTCAAGAAATGAGTTTGGAGATTCGGATCCTGTATGAACTGGCTTGCCCACTATATGTCTGCCAACATCATCACATGGGAGATTTCCCTTTTCATCCCTTTAGTAAACAAGAGAGGTTTTTAATATATTGGGTTAAGACATTGATTTTTTTTTTTACTGTGAATATTTCAATACACATGGGAATATGTCAATATTTCATACAAGCAGGAAACAGATGCCATCGACCAACATCAGGATCACACATCATATATGCATATGTATGCATGTATGTGCCAGTTATCTCACACATCTCTGCTTATTCAATTCTTTTACAGACTGTATCCATCTTATTGGTTTCTCTTGAAAAGAACCATAAAAATAAAGCTGATGTGCAGTTACTCTTTTTTTCTTGTTTTTTGGAATCTACCTAGAATTTTGTGATTTAGGGCAGAGAAGTAATGTTGACCTAATTTTTTTATATTTACATTTTTAAATACTTCAGATAGTTTTAAGACATGGCTATATGGCAAGCATGGAAAAATTCAGTCTGATTCCTTACAAACTAACCCCAGAGCAAGAAGAACCAGGGACCGATGATGTACAGACATTTGACGTAGTCTTGCACAATCAATCCAGGCCTAGAAGTTGTATAGGTACATCCACGCAGTACCAAATAGGGTGTGTAGCACCTGATGATGAGCTGCTGTCCCAAGACAGCAATGCATTGCAAGGCACGCACTTTGCAGTTTATGTACAGATCCCCAAGATGATTGCTTTTCCTTCCCCGCAATCCTGCCCCACGCTCTGAAAATCCAAACTACTCAAAGGCATCAAACGAGAGCAAGCTGTGCCTGGGGTACGAGCCCTCTCCTTGCACTAGATGAAGCAGGGCTCAGTAAACCTGCTGGTAGGACTGTGCCTGGAGATGGCTGCAAAAGACCTAATCGGACAGTAATTTCTGGGCAGCAAAATGCATGGGAGGCAGCCAAGAGAGAAGCTGGGGCCTCATGCACTCGTTGGAGTGCTTCTGCCCCTCTGGACTGCCATGTGAGTTCCAAGCTGGCCAGCGTGCTGACCCATACTTCCCTTGGCACCCTGAGGCTCCTTGAGGACAAAGCAAAGCCTCCTCATGGGACCCAGGTAGCCACGGAGGATGAGAAAGGGCCATCCTGCCTTGGCTGCAACAGCGCAGCACCACAAACCCCCACTACGCTTACATTGCCAGGCAGCTTTCCCAGAGCAGGGATGGTGTTGGCTTAGCGAGGGGGGCTGTGGTGCAGCCCCACCAGGGCTGTGAGCTCATCACCAGTCATGGAAAGACTTTCTGTGGTGACAGTGCTGGTGGACCCTGGCAGGTAACACGATGGAGACTGACATAAACCAGCCAGAAGCCAATCGGTGCTGCAGCTACCATCAGGGGCTGGCACGAGGAAACCTCCACGATAAGGAGGGCAGCCTGAGCTGGAGGGATCTTTACATCAAAATATCAAGTCTTTTACTCCATTCCAGTAACAAAAGGAGGGTTGGTTTGTTTGGGTTTTCTTCCTTGGAACAGCAACAACAAACTGAGAAACAGATGCTGAACAGTTTGATAATATCCAAAATAAAGACATGCTTAAATATAGTTAATCATGGACAAAAAAACCTGATGAAATGCCAGAACAGATTATTCAGAAACACTGTACACTATAGGACAGGTTTCTGAAATGAAGTATAGTCCATCAGGATTAAGCTGATAAAAAAAATTCAGATGTACATATCTTAATCTCTCTGTAAGATTACAGCTTGTACTAATATGTATTATAAGATTTAATCAGAATTGGTCCAAACTACTGCATTATCATAATGATTTAAGAAATGTTATTAATAAATAATCAAAATGCATTTTGAAGGTCGCGATTTCTAAAGCAGACCTCAAAAACTGCTGAGCAGCAAATATTCACTAAAAATACTTCAAAAAAGACGATGCATTTCTTATCAAATAAAAGTATTTTTGTGGTGGTAAACATGATCAGTAGCAGTACAAAGGCACTACTTCTTTTAAGATAGTACAGTTTCAGTTTCAGGAACAACAGGTCTTTACCATATAACTACTGCATTCAAAGAGAAACCTAAGACTCTGTTTTGGTTGGGGTTTCTTTTTGCAGCTTTTTTACATTAATGGGGTAGAATTAAATACTTGATTTTTTCTGTGGATTTTCTGAAAACCATGTCCTTAAAATATTTACATAGACATAAGAAAATACTGTTATCAGAGACATAAAAGACACATTCAATCCCTATAAACAACTCAAGTGTCTTGACTGACAATATTTTTAATTAATTAGAAGAAAAAAAATTAGTGAAGTAGATTATGTATTCTGTTTGTCTCTTTTTCACTTTAAGACAGATACTACAGTAATTGTGTTAGCAAGTTGGACTGTGTTATATGTGTCACATTCGAAAGAAAATGACAATTTTTTTTTTTTTCAAGAAATAAAAACCAAGCCAGGTAACAGACGAGGCAAGGATGAGGAAGGAACATGGGACTCAGCTTATAGCTTCACAAAAGGCTTGTGACATCATCTAAATCATGAAGTGGAAAGTCACTCTTTTGCCCTGGAAAGTTTTTCATATCTCTGAAGAGCAAGAATTTATCACAGAATCACAACTTCTCCCCAGTAGGCAATTTAACTTGCCATATACCTCACTCTTGGATAACCCCCAGGAAAGTCTTGTCAGTATCAGGTTATACATCTTATTAATTGGCTAGAAGAGTTACTGATAAGAAAGTCTAAGAAAAACTCAGCTACAAGAAACTCAGGTACAAGAAAGGACATGCTGCCCTTACAACTTTTCCAAGAAAGTTAACTAAAAGAAAAGCAAGAAGTAATTTAAAAATACATTGACTGGACACATGATAGCCTGTGTCTAAGAATATGGAAGCTTTAAAAATACTGATTCCTCTTAAATACATTCCTAGACCTCTGGGTAGCTACTTCCATATTATTTATAGGCCATAATTCTCTCAGAATTTTAGGAAAGCAACATCTGTGTACATTATGGAATGATACTGAATCATTTGAGGTCATGTGAGGGTAGGGTGATGAATCTGCAAGGAGGATCTGCTGCTTTTCTGGCTCAGCAAGCCCAGAGAGATGAAAATGCCTGTTCCAGGTGGCAGGTCAGAGTAGCAGATATATTTACAGGGAACAGCATGGTCACTGCAGAGTCTAGCAGAGTGGCCACACTAAAACGCAATCCTGAAATTTGCTCTAACGCTATCAAATCAAAAGAAAATACTATGGCAGAACAGAACAGTGCTCTTGTTGAAGCTGGAAGTTTCTTCCTTTTAGCTCAGCTTCCCTTATTGCATCATGGTTATTAGGCAAAGGGACAGACACGAACTCTTTTCCTAGTTATAGATTCAGGGTTTCAGATAATTTTTGCTCTTCTGAAATATGAGACTGTTAGAGACAATAGATTATCCCACACTTGAGAAAATAGGGTACTGAACCTTCTTTTCTAAAGGCTACTGTCTGTTTTGCAGACAAGACACTGATTCAGATCATTGTGGGTCTGATTCAGCACTTCTACCCTTAATAACCCATTCACCTGCAAAATGAAGCATTCTCATTCTAATCCTGCAGGACAGGCTGATAAACAGGTAGGAACAGAATGGTCAGTTACTTTACAAATATTTTTTACTTCGAATTGTACCTGAAATGATCTTTTTTACCTTGGAACATAAGGTTCTGTTGGAGGAGGGGGTATGTAGAGATCCTGAAGGGCAGAGCTGTCTCTTTTTGTAGGTGTGCTGATAGTGCTGGATGGCGTAGCAACACTGCTTGTAGGGCTTCTAGGAATAAGAGGCTGGTTCAAAAGAGAGAGAGAAATAATCAAGATTATCCCTATATATTATACATTTTTATTTGAAAAAGCTATAAACATTCTATAGTCCAGAAAGTTAAAGAACTAGTTAACAGTTCTAATGTTTTGTGTGCTTTTAAACTGACTGAAAAAACACTCAGGCTAAGGAGACAGATCTACGAATGGACATGTGTTGTGCTTATAAAATTGACTCCTCTGATTACATCTTTTTCCCTTTTGCACAGCAAGATTATTGCCAATGGCCATAAAAATAGTAATCAGTAGAGCCTCTGCTGAAATCTTAATGAGTAAATAACATACAGAATCCAGCGAATTCCTTAATTAAACTAACATTGTAAAGAAAAAGTCTAGTGTTTACAGTAAAAGGTGCATAAGTAGGCATTAAATTGAAATGTCATCTCCCCCCATCTGCTCTACAGCTTAAGAATTAACTGTAAAGCTTCAGTTTATGTCTGCAGATGCTGTAAAATCAGGTACTGCGTCCTCAGAGCACATGCGCTATGAGACAGAATAAACTGGAGATTATTATTATTCTTCACTCCCCTGGGCACACTCCTCACAAAGTAACATTTACTCACAGGTAAATAAATTGTACACTCCTTGCAGAATAATCATGCATTCTAGCTATCATTCCAGTCCAAATAGGATCCTTTCTCTTAATCACATCTCTCTCTCTCTCTCGTGATTAAGTACCCCTTCTTCTTCCTCAACTTAACTAACTTGGTTAGCTAAATAATGACTGACCATTTGAAGACTTTATTAAATCACTGTAGGGCTAGGAATTATAGCAAGATTTTCTAACAGTCTCTATACAGATGCAGAAAAATGAAATGAGAAGAAAACTTTGATTGCTTTAGTCTACTTAATAACATATCTCCCCAAAACCAAAAGCCTTACGTTGCTTGGCTTGTGTGATAGCTAAACTCAGGCAGAAGAAAAAGAAAAATGGCAAAACATCAGTATATCTTCATATACCCTAAAATTAATCTAATGTTAAACAAATGCTGAGTTTTGCTTTGAAAGAGTTCTTTCCCTTCCATCTTTTTGGAAGTGAACTCCTTGAAGAAAGAAGTGTTGGGATTATAGAGTTCACCATACCTATAATTTCTGACCTAAATAACTAGTGGAGGACACAAGCATTTCACATTTTATTGATGGCAGAGAAGCTCTAAATACTGACTGAACGGGTGCGTAGAAAGATCCTTCTGCCAGCACTATTAAGTGCATTCCTGTGCAGAATAACCAGTTCTCATTTTCTAGATATTAATCTTGAGACTGTAGCGTTATGCCTATACTGCAGAAAAGCCCAGGAGTTCAACAGCAGGAACTTTTTCAAAATGTTGGCCTTTCATAAGCTAGCGATGAGCCATTTGAATTTATGCTTATCAAGCAAAGCCCCCACCATTGCGTTACTTTTTTTCAATCTGTAAGTAAGAATAATGCATGCCACCTAGGAGACCTCATCCTTTATCCAGTTACTGCCTTTTTTTCGGAACAGAGCTGTGTTAGATGTTATTTATCTCAAACATAACAAAATGTATGCTTAAAATTTTCTTGTTAAAACTTTGCAAGTCCACCTTTAGAGCAACAGCTATAAACCGACACAAGTTTTCTCCTTTTGAACATTAGAAAACAATGCCCTGTAAACAGTGATACTGCTAATACTTTCTTTGCTCATTAGAGCTAACGTGAGTATTCTGTAGTCAGGCCAATGAAAGATTGCCAGTATTTACAGGAAGAGAGGGAGAAAGACACACACACAAAAACAGACAGGTAAAAGACTTTACAACCACTAAAACAAGAAGACAGAAGTCTGCAAAAATAAGAATAAAGTTGGTGGTAAAAAACCCAAAAAACTAAAAAAGACCCTCTTTCAGAGAAACAAAAATCTTATCCTTTAAATTTGCATCTGTGACACTGTAGCCATAGATGTTCTTGAACCACTTACTAATACAACACTGGTTATTTTCTTTCTGATACCTTGCACTTCTATGACAAGTACATTTTGTGGCCTGCTGAGTAGCTTGTAGAATTAATTTTCATTGTATGCCAAAAGAATTTTGTGACCTAGACCCTGTTTACACTTGTTAAGCCCAGGCTGTTGTTGTTCATGGCTCATACTTGCAAGAGCACTGAGAGGAAGACAAGCTGGGTAGATGGATTTGCTCTTCTCCACTCTGAGGAAGGAGGCAGCCCTTTACTTTACCTGCATGAATAGGTAGATAAAAGGAAAGAGGGCCCTAGAAACTAGACTGGTGGCAATCAATAGGAGTTTACGGTTTATGTCACATAAGGAAAATCATGCTCAAGCATAACAGTGATCTGGACTTACAACGGGTTGATGAGCCTCTGGTGGTCCTGACTGGCTGCTGGAGGGCTAGAGGACACACGTAAAGAATTTCCCTTGTGTTACAGCCTCGAATACCTGGGCTTAACTATTTAAATACTAATGATAGGGGCTTAATTTCTGGAAAAAAAAAAAAAAAAAAGATTTTGCTGAAGTCTGAGGATTCTATTGGGTAACTTCACACTTCACCAGTCCCTGCTAATACACAGCCCAGACATACAGGTCGGTTTGTCCTCCAGAATAGTTTCATAGAATCATAGAATCATTGAATCATAGAATGGTTTGGGTTAGAAGGGACCTTAAAGATCATCTAGTTCCAACCCCCCTGCCATGGGCAGGGACACCTTCCACTAGACCAGGTTGCTCAAAGCCCCATCCAACCGGGCCTTGAACACTTCCAGGAATGGGGCATCCACAAGTTCCTTGGGCAACCTGTTCCAGTGCCTCACCACCCTCATAGTGAAGAATTTCTTCCTTATATCTAATCTAAATCTACCCTCTTTCAGTTTAAAGCCATTACCCCTTGTCCTATCACTACATGCCCTTGTAAAAAGTCCCTCTCCAGCTTTCTTGTAGGCCCCCTTCAGGAAGACGCTGGAAATCAGTTGGGGTTTGTGCATCTTCGACAAATGCATATTTTGGTTCATCTTTTGGCTTGACAAGGTGGTTAAAACAGTGAGTGCAATAGGAAGAAATGGTATTCAGTCTACCACAGAAAAACACAAGTTATCCAGCTACCTGAAGGTAAAAGGTTTCCCTCAAACTGTTCCCATGTCAGACACTTTCAGAGGTGAAATTACAGTGTAATTGGTGAGAGTCTGACTGTGGTATCTTACACGATGGCAATGTGGGTACACCTTCCCAGGGCACCCGGAGCTCCCAAGGGGATAGAAACTGTAATACAATCTAGTACAAGTGGAAGCACAATCCTGTAGGATTGTCTCAAAACATACTAGGATGTCTCATATCTTTTCCATATTTGGGTCATATTGCCAAAGTCAACTCTCCAGCTTATTTTCACAAAAACAGAAAAGGTGTGTAACTAGAAAAAAAGGAGAAATCAAAATTTTAAAATAGGTCACCACTTTTTTTTTTTAAATATATTTATCACCACTTCACCAGTAAATCAGTAGCTCAGTAAGAACTGCTACATGGTAAAAACATTCAAATGGTCTCTCCTGGTAGTAGCTCAACACACTGAGAGCATTGCTGTAACTACTACCTTGCGCTGTAGGAGTTCAGCTTTCATTTTATAAATAATTAAAAGTCTTCAGGCCCTCCTGGTTGAAAAGAGAGCTTTCAGAATATGGCCTGCAGGTATGTTGCATCTACACAGCATTTTGCGTTGCAATTTAGAGAGACCTCAACCGTTCAGTTCGAGTCAATCTGTGCATCTGCAAATAAATCAGCTCATGTAGCTCTCCAGTTCAATGGCAGCCATTCAGTGGACCATATGCAGGCACATTGAACAGAAAAACACATGGAACTCCATTCAAGTATTTCTGAATTGGATGCCTTGGAGATCAGTGTTATCACTGAGTTAATTCTCTTCCAAGGACTAGAGCTTTTTCCTGCTACAGTCCCTTTTGGGAGGCTGACCAGGGCAAGTGGGATTGCTGAAACAGCAATAAAACTAAAAAGTTTTCGGGCCCAAAGAGTTAAATACTTGACCCATGGGAATGGCCTGACAGAGAAAGTTTAGAAGTTGCGTATTAAAACTGGAATAGCCTCAAAAATGTCCCATGAAAGACCTGCATCAATCTTAACCCACAATGACAGAGACAAAATCCATATTTCAATACATTTTGGAGTACTATTTCTCAAACATTTTGAATGCACCATCCTCCTTCAGGATCATGAGTCTTTATGGACCCTTTCCCAAATTGTCAGTTGGCCAGGGAACAGATAACCACAGCAGATAACTTACAGCAGCTCGGTTTCTCTGACATAAGAAGTCCCTGTAAGTACTGAATGATAGCACATAGACACTTAACTCCCCTCTCCTCCAGAAGCTGCTCTGTACCTGGTTAGCTCTGCCCTGCGGTTCTTACCTCCCTCTTGCTACCAGGACCAACTGCTGCTTTTCCCATCCCCAATCCTGAAGGAACTGAGAGGGTGCCCACAGTAAGTCAGCATATTATTTTTGCTTCTTCTCTCTAAACAATTAATATAATTAATATTTAATATATACTATCTAAAATTCTTTTTAATGTTTTTTAAAACTCTTTGAACCTTTCATTAACTCCCTTGGAAGCTGCAATATATAGTTTGAGAAACATTGCTCCAGAAAAAGACATACAATTTTTAAAAATATAAGCAAAACCAATACAAAATTTTAAGTGACAATATCTTTATACACTATTTGCATCAGTAAACAGATTTTACTGCTAATATATCTTTCATAATGGATCAAGATTATGACAATTTATTGAACAGAATGTTTCCAATAAAAGAAACTTTTTATAACACCAACCATGACATGAAGTAATGAAATACTATAACTAATTCATACTCTGTAGGAAAACCCAGTCAGAATCCATTTTAACAGTGCTGCAATGAATGCCCAGTTCCCATGCAGTTAAAAGACAACTAAGCAACTGAAGAGCAAACAAGTTAGTATTTTATTCAAATTTAA